AGCTCGGTCTCGTGTCCAGTTGGGCAGTGCATACCGAACCCAGCTGAGAGAACCATGCTAGCAACGAACCTACATGACATGAGGTGACGACGAATATTTGAAGTCGTCTCGCACAAAAAAGGTGACATAGACATACCTTTCCATATGATGGAACCAATCTTTACCACCATCGTCAAGCAGAAGCTGAATCTTGAGGAGGGCCTCGAATTGTTGTAGCGCTTCGGTTTTTCCAGCGGGTACGGCAGTCATGATCCCGGCGGTAAGTTTCCGTCCGATGGCGTGCGTTTGACCTTGTTCGGCGGAACACCAGAAAATCTTTGCGGGATCGATATGATAGCGCTGAGGCGCCAATGAGCGAATTTCTAAGGAATAGTAAAATGCGGTTTTGACTTGTCATATAGGGCACTACAGGACGCAAAGAATGTTCCGCTGATTGTCTGTCCAGGAGATATTTGCCTAGCACGATGTCACCGAGCAGAATCATGCGCTAATTTGACTCGTGAGTCCTTTGATCACGGGTAGACTGCGTGAGGTCGTACCGTTCCAACCAAGTTCAGTGACACAATCCCCCCGTATTGTTCGAGCAGAGTTCTGAAGTACATCGCCGGATACTGCCAGTGTTCAGCGGATGTCAAAGCTCAGTCACCGAACGCTGGGAGAATAAGAAGAGTACTTGGCTAGGAACCTGTAAGACGTTCCCAAGAAATGTTCCAGTTGGGCCGGGAGTGCTTTGGGGCCCGCGTTAACATGCGAACGCCAAGAATAGATGATCCCAAGTGTCACGAGAAGACACAGTCACTGTAATGGCTAGCTTGTGGTATCCAGCATCTCTCGAGCTCGCTAGGCCTTCGAATGAGGGATGGAGAGAGAACGAGTTGGTGAGCCTGAATTCAAGGGGTGCCAGTAGACATCAGTGAGATCTAGTTACTTTGGCAGCGACGAGAAGTAGTTGAGACCTATTAGTATGATCAACCCCATATGCATTCAGAATCAATATTACCCAATGCAGTTGATGTGAGAAGACGTCGATTCAATTGAAATCAACTGTCCGTCATGATCATTCCTGTAAGTAGTACAGTGCCTTTTAAAATGTCACAAACAATTATTCTTCAAAGATACCTCTGATATCGTAAATACAAAGATAGTTAAAATAAAGTAAATCGAAAACCACAATGTCCGTAGCAGGATTCGAGCCTGCGGCTTCTCGGAGCGCCCAGAGCCACAACGAGATGATTTAACCACTAATCGATACGGACTTGTCAATCGAGTGATGACTGGCATTACATAAATAGCTTTGAAAATTATCAAACGAAAATATTTCTATTACATACTCTATTCGCGATTAATGACAATCAGGTATACATACATCTAATGAATGATCTAATTATGCAAGGTTGCCAAATCAATGCAATTGCGACCTCTCGCGTTTCTCTCTAAGCTCGACCGACGTGTACATAGCTCCGCCCATGAGTGTCAGAATAATCCCAACTGCGTTCATCGGGGTAATGGTCAGGTTGAACATCGCGACTGCACACAAAATCGTCAAAACCTGCTTAACGTTTGCTAGAAGAAAAGAAGATGTGTTCAAAAGAAGATGTGTTCAGCGTTAGAGTCCAATGAAGATAGATGGGACGCTTACCAGCGACGGTCATGCTCAGCGCAC